GTTCTTGCACCACACCATTTGTTGATGTTCCTTTTTTTGGATGAGTCAGTGTAAAATGTTGGTGGTATTTCACTAGAAGCCACGTATTACTTAAAAAACCAGACTTTCACATCTCGTCACGTTTCAAGGTTCCCGTGTTATAATAACTCAGTGTGTCTTTAATGAAGAAGGAACCCCTTGGTGACTGGAATCAAACCATTCAGGCTTTCAGTTCATGAACTTTTGCAGTTTTCGATGACAACAAGCTGTGAAAAGTACACGTTTTGAAAGTTGCAGTATTGCAGGAACACATAACTGAAGTAAACTGTAAGAAGCCATTTGACTGGTAGATTCTCAGTCATCCAGGTCGGGGTAAGTCTAAGCTAAAAGGTTTTTCAGGAGCTTCTGGACTAAAGCAGCTTCTTGGACGAAGGTGAAACGTCTTCAAGAACCAAAAAGAGAAGTCCAGCTGCGTTTTACTGAATGTCTTGGGATCATTTGACGGGTTATTTAATAATGTAGGATGTGTTGAAACACTGCTCAACCCTGTAGCGACGTCCATCTTTATAGGAATCAGTCTTTATTATGGACTACACATAAAGATGGACGTGATAACTCTCCGGGAGTCAAGCCAAAACATATTGACCGCCCCCTGGTGGCTGGTTGCCGTATAGATTATCAACCCCATCTTCCTAAACAGAAGCAAAGAAGCTGTTATAATTAGCTATGTTTTGAGCTATCATGTATTCTGAATCTGTATTTCTCCACTGAACCTATGATCCTGTTTTTTCTGCTGAGCACATTGATTCAGTGCACGTCCTTGAAGATGATATGACCGGTGAGAACTGGTTGACACACCAGGAGACAGTGGAATCTCCCCTGTTCCATCAGATAGGATTGTTACTTTAGCTACACGCCGTTCCAACAACATCCACACATGTTGCTTACCAGATTTCAAGGACGTGGACAGAGCGTGGAAGAGGTATGCCTGTCATTGGTAACTGGCCAATTAAACTTGGTTGCGTACAAGTCCAACCTCTGTACGGGGCNTTATTTGACTCTACGTGAGCTGATGAACATATATTTATAAAGTTGTTCCATACAATGTGTCAGAAACGTCCTTTTTGTTTCTTTGTTTGGTTGGAGAACATGCTAACAGCAGTCTGTCTCGTTGCCGTCCTGCAGACGACAGCGTCCCGGCGGAGAGGGAACCCGGCGAGGTGGTGGACAGCCTGGTCGGCAAACAGGTCGAGTACGCCAAAGAGGACGGCGGCAAGCGAACGGGCATGGTCATCCACCAGGTGGAGGCCAAGCCGTCCGTCTACTTCATCAAGTTCGACGACGACTTCCTCATTTACGTGTACGACCTGGTCAAGACTTCGTAAGACTGTGCGGACGTCCTAAAGGCCCCCCGACCATGTGACGGAAACGAAACACGGCACACGTTGAGACACCTGAAGCATTTATAACCCAGCATTTGTTCCTCAGACCATCAAAGACGACGTAAAAGACCCCAAAACAAAGATTTTTCACAACGGAAAAACACAGGACGGGCGGTTCTTGACCCTTAAAATCGAAAAACGTAAACTCTCCGTGGTTTTACGTTACCTTGAATTGGTCCAAAACTTTTTCAGGCCCTTTAATACATTTCTGACTAAAGCAAAGAATCTTCTTTTATTGTAGAAAAAGGCTGTGAACAGATGAAATGTTTTGTTCGAGTGAGAGCGAGGTTTTAGAATCAAAAGAAAATCAATATGTAGGATGGAATAGGAACAGATTAACAGTAGCCAACCCTCCTTTGCTAAAACACCAAGGTTAAGGAAATGTGATGTTGAAGTCCTTGAACATTTCTGGAGTAGTTTTCAAAGATTTCTTTTCCACTTCGACTGAATCATCTGGAAGATGAGCAGACTCCCAGTGAAGAAATGTAGCCTGGAGCCAGTTGGTAGAAGAGGCTTGGTTTTAAAGTCTCAAATCAAAATTTAAAATAAAAAAAAAAAAGACTTGAAGAAGAAGAATTCATGCAATCACGATGAAGAACGAGTCGGTGTTTGGACTCTGAGACGTTGACAAACAGCACGGCTCAGCGTCGATGAGAACTTTTGTATTTGTTGGCGTATGGGAGCCCATTTCTGCCACAAAAAGTTAAAAACTAAAAAAAAAAACTAAATAAAAAATTCTGAGGTAGATAAAAAACAGTCGAAAATCAAAATCTCGACGAAGTAGATCTCACGTGTTGTCATCTTGTGTTCCCTTTTCAGAGAAAACATGCTGAACTCTGTTTGCATTTTTTATTGTGATTTTGACATAATCTTGTTTAATATTTCATGAGTTAAATTTTATGAAATGAACCACCAGTATTTGCTTCTGTCACAATCTTGACTGAAGCGTCAGAATTTTATGTATTATGTCGAGCTTCTCTCCAGTGATTAGTTTCTTATCTTATGTCATGATTTCGACAAATTAAGAATGTTTTCCCAAAGTGTCATCGATTTTTTACGAAGCAGAAATGGGCTTCCGTATAACAGATCGATAAAAACAGGAAGATTAATCCCAGTTTAACATCAAAGTCGGACTTTCTGAAGCCTCGGAAACCTTTGGCTCAGAGTAAAACCGTCTTCAGCCCAAGCCAGAAGGTTTGGTCGCATCTCTGACTGAGGACGCACCGGAAATCTCAAGAAACCCAAAACCTAATTTATGGCCCTTTTGTTGGACTGGACTTCTGCTCCGGTCGTTGTACAGAGCAAAACAAGACTGATTTTGTTTCGTCACATGTTGTGCTACGTACACAGGCTCCATGTCGCCAACTTCAGCATTAATGAAGGTCAGCAGATCCTCGTCTAAAGACGTCCACAGTTCAAAACTGTGATTTGAAAAAAAGAAAAAAAGACGGGGCTGTTTTTTTTTCTTTGCGTTTCGCTTTTATCATTGCCAAAACCCCTTCCTGTTGTGAAGTTGTTTGATGTTAAAGACGATCGGACAGCTTTTTTCTTGTGATTTCACTGAAGCCTTTTGGATTTACTCTCGTGTTGTCTTTTCTAAGTCGCCAATGAAGGAGCAACGAGACGGAACTGAAACTCGGCCGAAGCCTTTTCTGTCCTTTTGCAGTTTGTTTTAACTTTAAATACCTTGTTACAGCAAAACAAACATCTGGATCTGTGATTTCTTAAACGCAGCTGGGATGGAAGCGTGGATCTCGAGAGCAGAAAGTTCCACTTCAGTGGACGGTTCGCGAGCGTGTCGGACTTTTGAAGTCACCAGAACTGACAAGAAAAACAAACCTGCTGTACGCTGCAGTCAAGTTCTTCGTCTCGGAAGGCGCCGGCGAGACGCGTTTGTCAAGACGTTCGGTGTTGGATGGCTGAGTTGCGTGTTTCGCTTGATAAAATCATGACTGAAACAAAAGTATCCCAGTTTGTATTTACACACAAACCAAAAGATTCCTTGTGGAGTCGACTGAACTTTCTCCTGGACGTCCTAAGCTTCCACTGGAAGTCCAGGCGACGGTCCGGTCTGCTCCACAGCATGTATGCAGTAAGAGAGGACGGTTGTGTTTAGTATATGAAGAGATTAACAACCAGTGAAGGTTTAAAATTTCCTTTTTTTTCCACAAATGTACTTTTTTAAAAACTTTATTTGGATTTACTCCAGACTGAAGGTTTTCCATAAACTCTGTGCTGACTTGAAGTATTTGAGTGAATCGAGCTGTTTTCAGCGGCTGGTGACTGATGTCGTTTGCACTTTCAGTATTTTGTCATCCAGTTCATTTGTAGAATAGAGAGGACACCAGACATGACAATTAAACACCAGAATAAAACCTCGCGGAGCCTTTATCGAGCGGAAATATGTCCTTAACCAATCAGATGCCTTGACTGAGTCACTGTACAGAACAGAGTTGTGAATGTAAAACCTTCAGTGTGTGTACGTCCTGTGATGTAGTTAGTTGCAGAGGCAGATTTCAGCTCTTATTATAACCGCTCTTTAAAAAAAAAAGAAAGAAAAAAGAAAAGACAGACTCTCCCAGAGGTCTGTAGGTCTCTCCACTTGTGTATCCGTTTTGTTTTTTACTTTGAAGATAAGTATGATTGTGATCATCTCAGCGGGCACCGTTTTTAATGAGTTAACAGAATAATGCTTTGTTACTAAGACTTGATTTCCAGCCAGGTTTTGTCCAGTTCAGTCAGTTCCTTTTTTTTGCTATTATAATGATAACAGATTATTGTGGTTAATGTTGGAATGACATGGGCCTTCTATCATCCTTCTGCCTTGTATTGTTTGTTTTTGTATGTTTAAAAAAAATGTATGTTAATAATTTTTATTGTTAATGGAAAGCCTGACATGGTGTCTTTGGTTTTCTTTACACCACAGTGCATTTATTCTATACGCAGGAAAGGTTATTTTACACAACTTAGACCAGCATAAGGGGTCCTCATTCGAAAACAACATTGCCAAAGGTGGCAGATTTTTCATTATCGTATTCTTTAAACTTTGAAATATCGAATGTTAGCATTAAAATCAGCTTCAGACAGGCTCTAATCCAAAAAGTGTGAACGTTGCACATCAAACGCTGACAAGTTCGTCCAACACTCTGTAAGAAGTTGTTTAAATTCGATGAAAAGCGCAGTATTTACCTCGGTATCTTCTGTTAAGTACAAAAAGTATGAAAAAATTGGAACCCATTCACTGTCACTGGACAACAGCCTCAAATTTTCTAAGGCCTCAAAACTGATCCGAGATGATGTTCAGAGGTCTAGCTTCCTGTCAGACCACTTCAATGATGTAAGAACATGGGAATATAAAAGGTTTTAGCCCAAAGATGCCAAAAAAACCACACAGCTTACCTCTGTTTTAAACCATTGTGGGGGAAATAGGTCCAGCATCTAACTGCCGTCCAACCACAGTTCGTTGTCTTCTAGTCACAGAAAGAACAAAGAAGATGTGATTTTGTTGCGATGCCACCTCAACCACAGAAATGGGATTGAGCTGAAGTTTGAGTACTTTGGGTCCTTAGCAGTGTTGGAAGTCTTGATGCTAAGCTAAGCTAACCATAATATGAGCACTGTTCCATACTTCCTCCTCTCCATACTTGGAATTTCTCCGCAAGTCCTATCCCCAATATCAGGAAATCCAGATAAGAATATTTACATTTAAAGACAGCGTATTGGTTGATCAATTGTCTGTTCCAGTTTTTGCAAATTACACTGTATTACAGGTTTATATCGAACATTTTCAGAGCCTTAGTGTTGCCCCAAATTAAAGGCAGGTCCTCTTTGCCCGAACAATCCTTGACACAGTTTCTGCACATATAAAGGACCTACAGTTCACACAGCATGTTAGGATGTAAAGCGAGACAAGAAGTCTGAGGAATCCACTGGTAAATCTGTGGCAAGTTTTAGGTCAGGATAAGGGTTCACCAGCAGGGTATGCTGAACGGTCTGTGGTATACAGGGACAAACCCGAACACTTCTGGCAGAAATCTGTGTTATTCACCATTTGTGAATACCATCCCTACAGTGGGGCATGGTGGTGGCAGCATCATGCCTCTCAGCAGCAGCTACAGAGGGATTAGTCAGAACTAAAGGAGGAATATTTGCAGCCAGATGCAGAGAGGTTCTTGAAGAAAAACCTACTTCAGAGTTCAGCAACCTGACACGGGGGCAATAGTTCACCTTTCAGCACCACAATGAGCGGACAAGTCTACTACTGTTTCCTTTTATGATCTCCAGGCAGTGCCTGGACAATAATGCCCTTACACAAATACAGCACACAACAGGAGGTTTACCGCAGTAGATGCTTTCTCACCACTGGGAATGCTGTCTGACAACACAAGGAGGTACACTGCTGGTTCAACTGGCAGCAACCGAGTCCGTCTGATGGTCTTGGCGTTGGCCTTTACTGACATCTTGTCGTTTCACTGGCGCATTTTTGTTGGTTTCTTTACATAAATGAACCTTCTGTTCTGCCCACACTTAAAAGAATAATGTCATCGACAGGCCCATTTGCTAGAAAAAGACTAACTCTACTCATGCATGGGTGAGTAAGGGCAACTTTTACATTCCCTCCTCAGGGTAATGTCTAGATAAGCTCAGGGCTGCAGTACATGTGTAGAATAGATTCTTGCTGGTCCTAATTGGGGGCTGCAAGGTGGTTAGCACTGTTGCCTCGCAGCTAGAAGGTTGCCGGTTCGCGTCCCAGAGGGGGTGCTGGGATCTTTCTGCATGGAGTTTGAATGTGAGTGTGCTTGGTTGTCTGTCTGTAAGTGTAGCCCTGCAATAGACTGGCGACCTTTGCAGGGTGTCCCCTGCCTTCGCCCGAAGCTGGGATAGACTCCAGCCCCCCCGTGACCTTCGTGAGGATTAAGCGGTGTATAGATGATGGATGGATGGTCCTAATTGGTTCAGGTAAAGTCAAGACTGAATCCCAAAGAATATCACCTGTTAAGCGGCTTGAATTCTGCAGGAAGACTTCCATCCAATCTGCTGTAACGTGCAAGACCTTCAGAGACTCGACCAAGAAGATTGAAAGCTGTAACTGGTGTCAAAGGGCTTCTGCAGACCAATGAACAGTCTCAATACTTCTGTAAATGAGAGACTGCAGGTTCTAAGCTGTAATTAAAGCCGCAAGCGGCGATGGACGGGTCCTCGCCCTACGCTTGT